ATCTACTTTAGCTTTGACAGTATTGCCCATCTTGGTTGTGTTTAAGCGTATTTTCCCTTGATGTGGTGATTTTGAAATCTTTTAATTGTCGAAGCCCTGTGGCGTTCAAGTAACCAAGACAATCACGGCTCTCCTGCATTCTTTTTGGATGTCATCATGTGTACCATTTGACTGTTTCATTTGAGTAATCTAGGGATAGTGATAATGCCACTGGAAGTCTTAGTGGATGTGGCAGAATAAATTAACTGAGAGCCTTTCTCAGAAGGAGCCACTGTATCAACAAAGAAATGGCAAAAATGCTATTTAAAAAACAGCTGATACAGGTTTGCACAGCTTTCTGCAGGTTGTCAGAAGTTTGTTCTGTGGGAATACGGACTCCTTCCTTCCTCTGAGCTGGCTGGAGGTCCTCTGTATGGTATGAGCCTCAGACAAGCTCTCATAGGGGGAGAGGACCTTGTGGGAGGACCTTGCTAGTAGCCATCCACAGAAAATGCTGTTGCCGACAAAGCTTTGGGCATTCGGAGCAACATCTGGCTGGTACAGAGGTACCTTAACTTTAGGCATACTCTTTCCTATTGAAATGCACAGACTTACGCTTGTCGCCCCTAAAATAAGATTAGTTAAGCCACAAGGCAGAAATCTGCATAAGGCAATGCAGACAAGAAAATGGTGCGTCTTTGGATGAAAAAAAACCCCAAACAGTAACATCTGTTTTGCTGGAAAATGTTCTACTCCACTAAGGACCCGTTCGCCTTCTGAATGCAGCAGGGCAGGTGAGCTAGGTACTACAAAACAGAAAAAAACAGCAATTTTGTGTAGTCTTCTGCTTAATGTTTCACGTGGCAGTTGCCAGAGTTCCGGCCTCCAGACTGCACACTTCTACCGCGTGTATTGTGTCAGCTCTAGCATTAGTCAGAGCTCTCTCAGTTGAGCTAGGTCACGAACCAATTAAGCATCTAACCCTGCTCCCCCAAACTGTCACATCTGTGTGTTGAGTCAGTGCACAGAGCAATCAAAAAGGTACAAAAGCTGCCATCAATGAGATGGTGGGACTGGGGGTTGGAGGGAGGAGGGGGTAAAGTGCATTAAAAAAGAAGAGTGAGGCAGCTGCTAGGTAAGCTGAGCTGCCCCAGGTGTTCAGAGCGCCCAGATGGGACCTGGTGGTACTGGTTACGATGGCGTCTTCTCCAGAGGGCACAGAAATTAGTCTCCTTGGTGTCAGGAAGTGTTTTAGACCATGGCCATTAGCCTGTAGAGTACGCTAAGTAAGACTTTCGCCTTGTGTGGCTGCAGTGTGCGGTGACAGACTGGAGTCCTTCAGGGCTAAATCCTTCAACAAAAGACCACTTGGGCCGGGGAAGATTTTACTGCTTGGTCAGGGTACTTCTATAGCTTTTTATCGAAGCAGGGCTTGTGACCCACACCTTTCCACCCAGCTAAGTGCTGCAAACACCAAGCTGTGCAGTCTTTGTTTTACTGTCCACTGGTGGGTCATTTTTTTCTCTGTTTAAAATGGAACAGCTTCAGCTAGAGGGGTGGGAGAGACCCACTCCAAGCTGTATTTGAATGGTTAGAGAAGTACTATGGAACTTATGCATTAAGATCTTGTTGGACAGGTAAGAAAGCACTTGCCAAGAACATTCATTTCTGACTCCTCATTAAAACAGCGCTTTTCCTCCTGCTCCTGTTTTGTGTGGAAAGCCTGTTCCCTTACATGTCTTGAGGAACATCTACCTGAATGGGTCCTGCATGTGAGACAAATGAGGTGGAAAACAAGGCTGGTGATTTTTGTCCAGGCTGAGGCTATGAAGAAGTCCAGCTTCAGCAGAGTAAGTGCTCAGGCTCTGGATTTTTCTAGGTGGCAAGAAGCTCCTGATCTTGCCATGCAAAGCTGAGCATCTGCATCTGATCTGCACGGTACATGCAATTATTGGTTCCTTCAGACAAGGAAAGTAAATTAGGTTATCCCATTTCTTGGAAAGTTGGGTGATCACTAACACTTAAGTCCTTTTAATGGATCTAACCCATGCTGCAAGTTGAAAATAAAGCACAGTGGTGTTTTTGCATGCTTTTAAACTGTCATCTCACGGAACTGCAGTTGGGATCTGAGAGAGGCTTCCTGTGGTTTCAGGAAGATCCTTGTCCTGTTGTTGCTGTGCAGGAGGGTCATACAAATTCATACCACCCCTCAAGCTAAAGTAAAGCAGCTATTCTTCTCAGTGAGTGCCAGGATTGTGCCTGCTGCATTGTGTGCAGTCCAGAATAGCAAACATCTATCACATTCAACTCCCAGGGCTCAGCTGTGCCTCAAAGACATGGTTTAGCTTTTAACAGAACTGATCAGCACACAATGTGCTGACTGTCAGTGCTGCAAACACCAAGCTGTGCAGTCTTTGTTTTACTGTCCACTGGTGGGTCATTTTTTTCTCTGTTTAAAATGGAACAGCTTCAGCTAGAGGGGTGGGAGAGACCCACTCCAAGCTGTATTTGAATGGTTAGAGAAGTACTATGGAACTTATGCATTAAGATCTTGTTGGACAGGTAAGAAAGCACTTGCCAAGAACATTCATTTCTGACTCCTCATTAAAACAGCGCTTTTCCTCCTGCTCCTGTTTTGTGTGGAAAGCCTGTTCCCTTACATGTCTTGAGGAACATCTACCTGAATGGGTCCTGCATGTGAGACAAATGAGGTGGAAAACAAGGCTGGTGATTTTTGTCCAGGCTGAGGCTATGAAGAAGTCCAGCTTCAGCAGAGTAAGTGCTCAGGCTCTGGATTTTTCTAGGTGGCAAGAAGCTCCTGATCTTGCCATGCAAAGCTGAGCATCTGCATCTGATCTGCACGGTACATGCAATTATTGGTTCCTTCAGACAAGGAAAGTAAATTAGGTTATCCCATTTCTTGGAAAGTTGGGTGATCACTAACACTTAAGTCCTTTTAATGGATCTAACCCATGCTGCAAGTTGAAAATAAAGCACAGTGGTGTTTTTGCATGCTTTTAAACTGTCATCTCACGGAACTGCAGTTGGGATCTGAGAGAGGCTTCCTGTGGTTTCAGGAAGATCCTTGTCCTGTTGTTGCTGTGCAGGAGGGTCATACAAATTCATACCACCCCTCAAGCTAAAGTAAAGCAGCTATTCTTCTCAGTGAGTGCCAGGATTGTGCCTGCTGCATTGTGTGCAGTCCAGAATAGCAAACATCTATCACATTCAACTCCCAGGGCTCAGCTGTGCCTCAAAGACATGGTTTAGCTTTTAACAGAACTGATCAGCACACAATGTGCTGACTGTCATTCCAAATGACAGATGGGCTTATGATACGTTTGTCTGGAGGTACAGAATGAGAAGAGCAACTTGGTTACTAATTACCTTCTCACCATTGAAAGGAGAAATGTCCCTACGCTTGACACAATTTGCATGGATGTGGCAAAATTAATGAACTTTTTCACCCTCAGCTGTCCCAAGAGTGAGCTTCACACCATTGTCTCCAGTGTGGCTCTGATATTTGAATGCAGCCATTTGCATTCAGCAGGGCAGCGCAGACACAACGTGAGAGTTCAAGAATTTTAAAATGCATCTCTGCCACCAGGCTGTTTAGCAGCAAGAGAGCTGATGAGTAACAGCCGTGGATCATATCAGTGACTGTTACCACTGCTTCTTTTTGTTACCCTTTTATTTTTAACGTTATTTGTATCTGGGTATCAAGAAGATAACTATTCTTTCAGATCTGTTGTTCGGGTTACTCTTTCTAAACTGGTATGACTATTCTTATGTAAAAAGAATACTCCTGATATGCTGCGAACTAAGACATGAAAATCTGATTCCACTTTGTTTTGTTGTTGTTATTTGTTGCATAGGTTTTGGGGTGGGCTTCTGACACTTGAGAAATTGCATCCAGCTATGCAAGATGGCTCAGTGATCTTAGGAAGTAAGGTAATAGTGTGGGTGAGCTAAGGTGTCAGAATTGTGTCCTTCATGGCTATATGTACCAGACAAAGTATCTTGACTTTAAATTGTATTTAAAATTGCTTACAGGTAAGTGCTGGAAAGATCCTTTGTATGAAAAGTCTTGATGAGATATTATCCATTGCAAGTTTAATGTGACTTTTTTTAAATGCTGTTTTATTACTTATGTCCTGTGACAGGCCTATTAGTATTCTAACAATTCAATAAGTAGATACATTAAATAAAATAAATAAATTTAGTTTATCACTTAATCCTATATCTAAAGAAGGTTTTAATTTGGAACTGTTTTCAAAACGGATCAAAGACATTTATCAAATCAGACTCCAGAATTCTTCACTAGTTCTTGGCATAATGATTACAGAGGTGGTGGTGGGAGAAATACTAGAAGCAGTGTGTTGCTTGCCTAGGTATGAAAATTGGAATCATTTGCAGGGCTGCATTTGAAAAATAAAATTGGAACAGTGAAGCATAGCTATCTGACAATGGAAGCAGAAGCTGAAAGCTTAAGGAGTATAGATACTGTTAATATTCAGGTAAATGCTCTAGGCTGTTTTCCTGGTTTAGAAAGCTGGTGCAAACCCAATTTCAGCAATGCAGGCAGTATATTGAGTATTCTATTTGATGAATTTTTGGGACTGCGTTGACAGCAGTGAGGTGGCTAACCCCTAATGGCAGCAATTTGTTTTCCTTTGGTTTGACTATGATGGGTTTTTATTGTGGGTCTAATCAGTAGCAGGGGGTTACACCTTCAAGTGGGTCTAATTCAGAGTTTCTGGGTAGTTAATCTGAAGAATGTTATTCCAGATGGCTGATGAACACTTAGGTCTTGCTCACAGCCTAGCAAAGCCCCCCCAAAAAATCTGTTGTAATCTGAGCCTGTTTTCTTTTGAAAACAACCCCCTTTAGAACAGATTTCACCAGCTACTTTTGTTACTTTTGGCCTTTTCAGTTTCTCTTCCATTATCTTGACTGATCCGTTTTTCTTCTTTCTCCTTTGGATTCTTTTTTCCCTCCCCATATCCAAAGCACAAACTGTATCAGTGCTGTGACAAAGGGTGGGTTGCACCTTCTCCACAGCATTCAGATATTTTCTTCATGGCTCTGCGTGTGAAATCCACCTTCCCTCTTTCTTTCTTGAGAGCCGTGTACTCGTAGGCCTTTAGCTTGCTGTAATAGTCTGAAAATTTGTTGTAGAGAATGGAGATGGGCATGCCATTCAGGATTATTCCAAACGCAATGCAGAGGAAAGCAAACAGGCGGCCAAGGTGAGTTTCTGGACACATGTCTCCGTATCCCACTGTAGAGATGCTGACCTACAGGCAAACCAATATCCACCTTATTAGCTGAGAAGAAACATACAGACAGCTATGATCAGGTATCAGGGACAATTTTAAAGTCAGCGGTTTTTGCACTTTGTGTTATAAATCTGAAATATTCTCTGCTGCCTTTTTTTCTGTACTGTCCATTTTATGCAAAAATCCCTAATTAAAAATAATCCCTCTCATGCAGTAAAGAAAGAGAACAGTGCAGTCTGGCACCGTTCAGGAGGATTTTTAGAAGCTTTCTCCTGCAGAGGGAATTTTCAAACACTTTCTGCACCAGCCTGTCCAGAAGGTCTTGTTTTCTCAGCTGCAGTGAGCCGGTAGAGATGGATCCCTGACTGCACAAATCCAGTGATAACTGCAGCCCTGCTCACTCATTGTGTCACTTAGAACAGATGCCCTGTGTCTAAATCCAATGTACTTACAAAACCCAATATTTTGGGACTTACTCTGTCAGTTGTATTTTGAGTATTACTTTTGTTTCTCATACATATTTTAGGAACTACTGAAAAACAGATTAAAAGCTTCAGCTAATTGTGAAACAGATTTTTGTAATGTTTGCACTATAGGAAGAAGTGACCCAAAACTTTGAAGTTTTTAGATAAAATCCCCTTTAATGGTTACATACCTACAAGGAGCTGTGGAAAAAACAAAGATCTTACTCAGTTGCCTGGAATCTTTTGCTCACAGTGTATGTTTGCAACATATGTGTTTATAGTGCTAAATTGTTTTATCTTTCTGCTCAACTGCATGTCAGAGGTTACAAAAGTAAGGTGTATGTGTGCCTTCAATAGGGAATATTTCTGTTTGTTTTTGCTGACTGGTAGATAGGAAATTTTTGCTGAATGCCCCTTGGAAGAAGGGTTTGGGTGTTGTTTAAAATGTTTTTTTTTGTGGGAGTGATGGTATTTAGTATATTCATTTTATATGAATCTGTACATTTAATCATAACATTGTCTACATAGTTGCACAGAGTTTTTTCTTCTTGGCCATCAGCATTTTCCCTTTTTAGCCTATGGATGTATGAAGGAACTGTCTTTCAGGTGGACCCACTACTCTACCAAGTACTGCAATACTTTCTGTGTAAAATTTAGGTTCAAAAATTCACGGATGTTTGCTTATGGGGATGCTACATATGAATGATGTAATCCCAAACAGTCAGCATAAAAAGTTGCTAATTTGTATACTTCCACTGCACATATCTTGATTGTTTATAGTTTGTGCATTTAGTAAATATAACTTGTTTTTCTCTGGCAAGTAAAACTTCTAGGCTTCTGCAATCTGCCACTTCCTAGTCTGTGCAAGGGATCTTTTTCAGTCAGTGAATTTTCTTTAATTTTTTTCACAGTATCTCAACACACTGTGTGTATCTGTGAAACAGTAATCTAAAACTTTAGCAGAAATAATCCGCAAACAGTAGTACTTCTACTATAATGCCCTTGTGGCTTTAACACTGAAATAAGTCTTTGGAAGGTCACAGTGTGCAGCCTGTCATCCTATAACATGCTAAATAAAATGTTATTTTAAATGAAGAAAGCATTAGGGTACATGAGACAGCACTGGGCAAGCACATTTGTAGGATGCACCTGGTGCTTCCTGTGGAATAAAAAGGATTAGTCACTTGGTTTAATGGAAATTAAGTCACTGGATTTGAATGATAATACAGGATAAATATCTCCAAAAATAAATGCTGAGATGAAGGCAAGATGTTTATCTCTACCAGCCAGGACAAAAGCATTATCCTTTGATAAGGTTCTGTTCCACTGGCATAGTCTTCTACATCACCTGTGACGGTTTGGGAGGGATACTTCTCCTCATGTCTGTGTGAGACCATGGATGCTGTTGGATTTTGATGAAATTTGAGTGATCCAGACATCTGAATTTTCACTCTTAAAGAACAAGCAGGCTTTAAAGAGAATTTCATGCCTTGGAATTGCAATGTCCATGCTACAGCTCCTTGTTTGGAAATGCTCACTCAGCTAAACAGGCCTTTTTCAGGTAGTCGTAGTCATACAGGTTTCTTAGGAGTATCTAAGTGATTATGTTGTCACCAGCTTGCAGAAATGAGCCCTAAAGGTTTTGCATATAGCCTGCGTGTTCAGAAAACAACATATAAGGCTAATGTCCTTGATCTAGCAATGTACAAAGCACAAATTTTTCCATAATCTGTGTATTTCACTGAAAGATGACCTGTGAAGATCGTATTACAAGACCCTTTCCCTTATTCACTGAATTTTCCCTCCTTTCCATGCCCCATCTTAAAGGAAATTCAGCACGTGTACAGATGCATGTACATATGTAAATGTCTACTTGTGTCTGTAGGGCCAGTTTTTCTGCCACACGCCAACTCACTACAAGCATATGTATGGGAAACCACCACATCTCATTAGCCATCTCTGAACCAGGAGCGCAGGCCATGGGCTCTCAGGGCTGCAGGCCAGGAGAGGTGACCTTGGATTGGGTTGGGGTTGCTGTCCTGTGGGCCCAATACACAGCTTGGTACGTCCAATGCCTATGCTGATCAACTAGCATGAGATCATCTTCCAACCGCTTTCCAGTCTGTTTGCATGGCCTTCCTTCCCCAGGGAAGTGTCTGGGACATAACCAGCCCCATTGCCAGGCCCAGGAGCCAGAAGTGCTCCTGGGGCCCTGCCATGAGCATGAATTATGGAGGCCAGCATCAGCTGCTGCGAAACAAAATGTATATGATGACAGACTGGAACAAGCCTCAGAGTTATGGACAGCCAAGATATGGGCCCTTTGCCTTGTCTCAGCACCTGCAACATCTAGCTACCCTCTAATTTGATCTGTGCTGCTATAGATACACCCATCTTCTGGTGTTTTCCAGCTCTGAAATGCTGCAGGCAGCAGCACAGGCAGGGATCAACTTCCCTTTTTACCCAACACCCTTGATAAAACCACCACCCTGCCTGCCAAAACATTGTTGTAAAAATTATGATTGTGAAACTGCCACACTTGTGCATGATTATCTGTTAAGCCTTTACTTACAGCCTGCAGCTTACTCTCCATTGTCTGCCAGTCTTGATAAACCCAGAATTGTTTCTTTTATCTTCACTACTCACCCTGAAGGACATAACTAACATTTTGATCTCATAATAGTTTAGTTTGAGAAGTATTGGCTAGCTTTCCATAAGTGAATGTATGTCTGTCCTTGGGTGTTAACGCAACCTGAGTCTGGAGTTGAACTGCTTCCTGAACTCTTCAGAGGTGAATTCTGAGTTTGGGGTGCTGGAACATTTCTGCTAGGACACTGCCAGAGCCAGGAGGCATTTAAGCAAGGTGGAGGACTTTAAACTCTCACAGCTTTCTATTCCCAGCTAAATCTTCATGCCCCTGAAAGATGTGAACCCAACAGCCTGAGAAATGCTGCCTCAGAAACACCCCTGCACGTAACACAGTATATAGTACAGGTCAGTGACAGTTCAGACCTCTCAAGGAGACCTGCCCGAATGCCTTAGAGCACTAACCCAGTGGCAGTCGCTAGAAATGAGGTCATTCTGTCTTCTCTTCTGAGGCTTGTCAGCTGAAACTCAGCCAGTTACCCTCACTCAGGCACTTGGGATGGGACTAAAATCACAGTCTTTCTGGCAGAGGTTGCAATAAAAGATTCAAGGTGACATTAACCAGCTCTCAATACTGACTGATGTGGGATTCAAACCAGTGACCTAGATGTAGAAGGCAGTTTATCCCCTTACCAACCCCTTGAGCCAGTCTTCTTTTTGTCTTTACCATGCCAGACTTGCAGAGGAATATAAATAACGGCCAATTTTTTTGTGTGTGCAGACATGCACCTTAGACATGCCACCTAAAGAACAGAACACAATCTTTTGTGTAAAACAACTGTTAGTTTTAATGCATTTTTTAAAGAGCCAGAGCTCTAGGACAGCTTTGGCTTTGCAAGTTTGAGTGATCAGACTATAGTTAATAAACTATGTCTTATCATCTTGCAGTTGTATGATGGGTCACAGTAGATCTGCAAAAACAAGACTGAAAATCCTGTGTCCACTTGCAACCAGCTGGCCCGATGCAAGCTTTTCTTTTTTTTGTTTGGTTTTTTTTTGGCGACTCTGAAAATGAGATTAAATGGGGAAATGCTTTTCTTTCCTGTCTGTTTGCCCACTTGCACTTTTTCATTAAAAATGCAAGTACTGTCAGCATTTGGTCAGGCGGGAATTTCCACACTGTCTGCCTGATTAAGCCTTGATTTAAGCTTACAACAGAGGGGAATGAGTGCATGTGTGTGTGTGCGTGAGTGAGTGCAGATGTCCTGTTAGCTCAGAATTCAGAGCAGATGTTCACTCATCTGAGCCTGCTGCTTTCAAGACTGTCAGTGACTCTAGAAAGGAAGGGGAGGGGAAGGGAGGGAGGGTCTCAGGCTACCCAGAAAGGTGAGATGTATTTACTTACGGCAGCCCACCACCAAGCATGGGGGATGCTGGTGAAGTTGGTACTGGAGACATCATGCTCCACTGTGTAGACCATGGCAGAGAAGGCGAAGATGCCCATGGCAATGAAGAGCAAAAGGCAGCCCACCTGCTGGTAGCACTGGCGCAAGGTAAAGCCGAAGGCACGCAGCCCTGTGGAGTGACGGGCCAGTTTGAGAATGCGGAAGATGCGCATGAGGCGCATGATGCGAAGCACTTGTCCCACCTTGCCCACCCGTCCCACCTTCTCAATATCGTGCTCGTGCTGAGACCCCCGACCTCGGGGCTGGTCGTCATCAGCAAAGCATTCAAGCAGCAGCTGCAGGTAGAGGGGCAGGATGGCAATGAGGTCTACTGCATTGAGGGCGCTGCTGGCAAAGCGGCGCAGGTCAGGGGTAGAGACCAATCGCAGCAGGTACTCCAGTGCCTTTCCGGTCTACCTGCTGCATCTCCTCCACTGTGTTGAGTGCCAGGGCCACCACGGAGATAAGCACAAAGAAGCTGGAGGCCACTGCCATCACCTTGGCAGTAACAGAGGAGAAGGGCTTCTCCATGAGGTTCCAGAGACGCCAGCGCTGGGGACCATAATAGCGCATGTGGTGGAAGAGCTGCTCATTCTCCTGAGCCTCTGCCTGGGAGCGCAGCTCGCGCTGGACCTTCAGCTGCTCACTCAGCTCATCACGGCGCTCCTCGAAGCAGATGCGGCAACAGCGAGGTGTGTATTTCAGCCGCACACCCCAGTAGCTGAGCTCCTCCAGGAAGCTGCGGGGACACAGCTCGTCCCGCACGCGCAGCACCCCTGAGGCATAGAAGTTGTAGACCAACTGGAAGACTGCCGGGTCCCGGTCAAAGAAATACTCATCTACCTGGGCAGCGTAGTCATAGCCAGGCGGCCCAGGCGGGTCTGGGTATAGATGGCCACCGCCTGGTAGGTGAGGCGATAGCTTTGGCCGCCAACGTTGATGTTCAGCACAGATGAAGTGGAAGCCTTCGCCGGGGCTCCAGAGGAAAGAGCAGGGGAGCAAGGAATGGATGACGAGGGCTTGTTTTCTCCCCCGAATGTGTCTCCGCTTGGCCATTTTCCTTGTTCTTTCTCTTCCTCTTCCTCGTCTTCATCATCCACATAATAGTTGTAATTCCCCTCAGGTCCCAGGAGCAGCAGGGGCTGGGAGTTCAATGGAGCGGTAGCAGAAAAGCCACTCTGCTTGTCTACATGCATGCTTTCGTTATCCTTCCCCTTGTCGGGCTGCAGGAGAGCATTTGGTGCTTCCCTCTCTCTGCCTTTGTGTTTTAGAAAAGGAAACTGTCGCCGCATGTTCAACTGCAACATACTATTTTTCCTCACTTATCTCCCTTCTTTGCATTCACCTGATCAAGGAATTAACACCGGTCCTTCCCAACACTACAAAGGCTGACAATCCTGTTTTCTTCTCTCTCTGTCTCAGTGGTATCACGCACAGCAGCGGTTCTGCATTTTTCTCCCTGACAGCCACCACTCCAGTTGTCGTCAAAGCTCCGTGTGGGATATAGACACATGAAGACTGCTGTTGACCGTTTTAATCTTGCTGACAGGGAAGATCTGAGTGCTTAGAGAAGGGGATTTAAGGGCTATTATCCTGTTCCGGCCTCATCTCCCTCAGGCTGTGACGTGAATGATTATGGATCCATAAATCTGTGAAAAATCAGTAAGGGAAAAAAACCCCTAAAGTTTATTGTTAATAAAACCCATACATTTTCCTCATTCAAGTATATGTGGATTAAGAATAATCTCAAAATGAAAATGTAGGAGGGGCATAGTAGGGAGAGAGAGGGGGAAAGAGAGAGGACATGACAGATTTCTTTCATCTACACAAATATAGCATGTCTTGGTTTTCCTCGATGAAAATAATGAATAATTGATATGCAGGTAATGGGTAGGAATTCACTACAGTAGCTCTTAAAATGATTTCCAAAGGTGAGCAAATAAAAGCCATCGCTTTTTATTCCCAGTTAGAATACCTCCATCTGGTTAAGGGCCGAGGAAAGTCGCAGTCCGTGCCTAAACCTTTGGCTGTGCTCTGGGAGTGCTGGTCTTAAGCTGCTCTGGACAAAGTGAAAGTATAAGGCAAGGGTGTGAAGGGTTTTCCAGCACACTACTTCACTTGAAACTCTTCATGAGCTGCTAAGAAACAGAATAAAGCCACTCTTGTTTCTGTTGTAGGGCATGTTTAATAGCATAATGCCACACCAGGTACCTAGCAGGACAGGAGAGGTGCTTTCTCTTTGTTTTGACGGAGGTTTCATCCTCAGCTCTGGTTGAGCTGGCGCAAGCATCTCCGGTAGCAACGAGCATCCTGAAAACCAGGTTACTTCTGCTTTTCACTGGGAGCAGTTCAGCTGAGCTAGAGCTCCTGTAAAGCAGAGCATATGCACAATAAAGTGATGGCTCCTTCAGCATGCTCTTAGCTCATGAGTTAACAGCTTCTTAACACCAGCTCTTTATTCCGCCTCTATACAGGCTGGTACAGGAATGGACGAGGCACTAGAAAACTGCCAGATTTGGCAAAACCCTCACTGGTGTGGAAGGCCTCCCATCTGCAGCCCTGTAGCCTGCCTTCCACTTGTATCTCCCTACCCTTTCACACAGCTGCTGGGACAGTGTATCTCAGACCCTCTGTTGCCCTCAAGCTCCTGTTCTTTTGTCATTAATTTCATGGTCTTCCACCTACAAACCCCAATACTGTTGTTTTGGTGGTGTCCCATGTGAAGCAATTGCTGTTGCTGTGAGAATTCCCCCTTCATTTTACCCTTTATCCTACCTCTCATTGTAGCTTTTATATTTATTAGCTCTTGAGAAACAGGAAGATGTCATAGCTGAGCATTTTGCAATACTTTCGTTCTCAAGCTGCATTCTAATGGGTGCATCACACTGAATAGTTTGAGTTTTCTTCAAGTTGCACTGTTTAAAGCCTGGATTATCGGCAGTTCATGTTTAGCTGCACTTGAAAGCGTTCTGCTTCATGAATTTGTCTCCACTGCCCGTTCACTTTCTTGATGCAAGAAAGTCAAGGCCCCTATTAATAGGGATTGTCAGTACCTTATTACAGATAACAATTTGCTTTGCAGTTTGCTTTGAACATTAAACCATGCCATGTCGAGTCCTTTGTTAGCAACCTTAATGCAAATTAATGTCCAGTTTCAAGGCTGTGTCTTTCTCCTAAGCAAACTAATTCAGACACAAGAAAAAAGTAATCTGCAATGCCATCATTTTACTACTGAAAATTGTTGAATGTTTCTTAATTAAGATTTGGCCTAGACTATAACTATATTCATCTAGACAGCCTCCAATGTAGCATTTCATTTTGCTTTTTGTCAGTCTTACTGGTCTCAGTTCTGAGAAGTATCCAGTAAGGCTTATTGCTCACTACTCAAGACATCGTTTCTCACACCATACTGCAATAGCAGGAGCTTCTACAGGGTGAACTTCATGACTCTCAAATGCCAACACCTCATGCACTTGGACTAAGATCTTGGACATCACTGCTAAGCAAAGCAAGAAAGATCACTAGCTTTGCTTCTGCTCAGACTAATCGCTTTGACCTAGATGTTCTTGGGAACGTAGCTCTCAGGCACCTGGTACACTCTGCTCAAACTTGCCTCTAACTGAAAAAATAAGTAAATTAAAATTGTTTAATTTATGTTCTTTACTATGGGATGAGACTTGGTTCTGAGCTGCTAGACTCTCAGCCTAGATAGACAAGAAAAGGAAGCAACCAGAAAAGTCTTTTTCCCCCTCCATTTTTTAACTTAGCTACCTTATTCAGTGTGCTGCATATCTTCATAAATGTCATTAATAAGAACTGCATAACATATTCTTGCATAGGGAAAAGCAGACTTCGGGCTGCTGAAGGAGCTAGTTAGTAAGGTCACCTGGGAATCTGCTTTTGAAGGTATTGGGGTCCATGAATGCCGGTCACTTTTTAAGAGATATCTCTTAAGAGTGCAGGAACAGGCAACTCCAAAATGTTGCAAGTCAAGCAAGTGGGGCAGAAGGCCACCTTGGCTGAGCAGGAATCTTCTCCTAGAACTTAGGAAGAAAAGAAAACTGTACGGACCATGGAAGAAAGGACAGGCAACACAGGAGAACAATAGGGATGCTGTTCACCACTGTAGGAAGAAAGATTGTGTGGCAGGCTGGTACTGTGAAGGACAACGAAAAGGACTTTTTGAAATATGTTAACAGCAATAGGATGATCAGAGTTAACCTTGGTCAATTGCTTCAAAAGGTAGGTCACCTCACAAATAGGGATGTAGACAAAGCAGAGAAGTTTAATGCCTTCTTCACCTCTGTCTTCAACACCAATGATGGGCGCTGGGACCCTCGGAGCCCTGTCTTGGAAGACCCGTGACTGAGGCAATGATAAACTTCCAGCTGACCCTGAACTTGTCCAAGACTTACTGCTCCAGCTGGATGCATGTAAGTCTAGGGGGCCCGATAGGATTCATCCCAGAGTACAGAAAGAGCTGGCTGATGTTATTGCTGAAACTCTCTCCATTATTTTTCAATGGCCTTGGGATTCTGGAGAGGTCTCAGTCAACTGGAAGCTGGCAAATGTTGGCCCAATTTTCAAGAAGGGTAAGAAGGAAGACCCTGGTAATTACAGGCCTGTCAGTCTCACTTCAGTGCCTAGTAAAATTATGGAGAGGGTTGTTCTGGGGGTTACTGAAAAGTGCAGTCATTGCTCATAGCCAGCATGGGTTCATGAGGGGAAAGTCCTGCTTGACCACCTTGATCTCCTTTCATGACAAGGTCACCCTTCTAGTTTGGTGGGGGAGTGAAGTGCCTCCCACTGTAAGAGAAGATCAGTGTCGTGACCACTTGAGGAACCTGAACATATGTAAGTCTATGTGACCTGATGAGATGCATCCCAGCGTCTTGAAGGAATCGGCTGATGTAGTTGTTAAGATGCTCTCCATCATATTCAAAAAGTCATGACAGTCAGGTGATGTCCCTGGTGCCTGGAAGACTGGAAACATTGTGCCTGTTTTCAACAAGGATAGGAAGGAGGACCCTGAGGACTGACCTGCCAGCTTCACCTCTGTGCCTGGGAAGATCATCGAACAGGTCATCCTAGAAGTTATGCTAAAGCACATGGAGGAGAGGGAGATGATTCGAGACAGCCAGCATGGCTTCACCAAAGGCAAGTCTTGTCTGACCAACCTAGTGGCCTGCTATGATGGAGTGACTACATCAGTGGACAAGGGAAGAGCTATGGATGTCGTCTGTCTGGACTTCTATAAGGCCTCTGACATGGTCCGCCACAACATCCTTCTCTCCAAATTGGAGAGATATGGATTTGACGGAAGGACTGTTCAGTGTATAGGAATTGGTTGGATCATGACATCCAGAGGATAGTGGGCAACGTCCTGTTGTCCAGTGACACGTGCTGTTCCTCTTGGTTCTGTATTGGGACCAGCACTGTTTCATGTCTTCATCAGTGACAGAGACAGTAGGATCGAGTACACCCTCAGCAATTCTGCAGCTGACACCAAGCTGAGTGGTGCAGTTGACATGCCTGAGGGATGGGATGCAATCCGGAGGGAAATGGACAAGCTCGAGAAGTGAGCCTATGTGAACCTCATGAGGTTCAACATGACCAAGTGCAGGGTCCTGCACCTGGGTCGAGGCTACCTTGGGTATCAATACAGGCCCGGGAATGAAGTGGCTGAGAGCAGCCCTGTGGAGAAGGACTTGGGGTTACAGGTGAATGAAAAGCTTGACATGAGCCAACAATGTGCACTCACAGCCCAGAAGGCCAACCATGTCCTGGGCTGCATCAAGAGAAGTGTGGGCAGCAGGTCAAGGGAGGCGATTCTGCCCCTCTACTCTGCTCTGGTGAGATCCTGCCTGGAGTCCTATATCCAGCTCCGAAGCCCTCAGCACAGGAAAGGCATGGACCTGTTGGACTGGGTCCAGAGGAGGGCCACAAAAATGATCCAGGGGCTGGAGCACCTCTGCTATGAGGAAAAGCTGAGAGAGTTGAAGTTGTTCATCCTGGAGAAGAGAAGGCTCCGGAGAGACCTTATTGTGGTCTTTAAGTACTTAAAGGGGGCTTATAAGAAAGATGGAGACAAACTTTTTGGCAGGGCCTTTCGCAGTAGGACGAGGGGTATTGGTTTTAAACTGAAAGAGGGTAGGTTTAGACTAGATATAAACAAGAATTTTTTTACAGTGAGGATGCTGAAACACTGGAACAGGTTGCCCAGAGAAGTGGCACGCGCCCCATCCCTGGGAACATTCAGGGTCAGATTGGACGGGGCTCTGAGCAACCTGATCCAGTTGAAGATGTC